TGTCGGTGTGTGCGCACGTGTACGTTAATAATGTCAGCTAGTCCGACAGTTTCTTCCAAAGGCACTACAGCTTCTTCGCTGCAAACGCCTCTGGTGACAGCCAGTTACTTTACGCTCTCTCTGTTCTCTTGGGGTTTTTTTTTCCTGGGCACTGCCTCCTAAGATCAATGGAACACAAATTAATGAGTGCACAGTAGCGTTGTTATTCATGAAGGAGCGGCGAGCCGCTGTGTATCCATACATATGGTAAAGAGGCTAAATGTAACGAAATGGTTGTCAACCACGCAACATGAATACGTAACTCAATCACAGACTGAAACTAACATCTAATTATTGGCAATTATGGCCACTGTCTGATCATAGCAGAAGATCCAAATTATGACACATTAACAGAAAAACAATCACGTTATCTGGGAAGCGGGTTGTGGGTTTTATTTTATTTTGTATTTTACTTGGGATAGTTCTTACCTTTCTAACCAAGTATCCACATTGTCCTTCTGCATTAACTAAGGTTATTCTCAATGTTATGTCTTGGTGATGAATATAGTTACATAACATTATAAAATTAAAGTCCTAATTAAATTATTGTAATAAAATCATATACTGCTGTAATAGTGAATGTGAAGTTGTTAAAGGGTTATAATTATTTAACAATTCCGGGGCAAGCTGTCACGTCATGCGCAAGTGAACGGCTCTCTCAAGGACTTCCACAAACCTTCTCACTTACCTAACACTATTACCCGTGCTAAACGTGTTTGTAGTTTCACCCGGCCTATTAAGAGAACCTCTTGGGCAAATTTGGAACCAACCTCTCCGCCCCCTCCCCACCACACACATAAATATTTCGCTGATCCCAGGAACAATGACTCCCCGCGCAAACCGAGACCCAGTCCGTCCCCTCGTGCCTAACGGCGGACAGGCCACCAGGTTAGAGGGTGAAAGCGACCTCCCCGCTCGCTCGCCCGGCCACACAAGGTCAGAGCTGACGATCTCACCGAAGAGGCTTTCCAGCTCCTCCAGGAACTTCACCCTAAGATTGACCAATTCGGCATAAGAAGAAAATGCCCCCCCCCCCCGACACTTTTTAATAGCAAGATGGACACCTTGAACGACCGCTTGGATAAGCCGGAGACAACCATCCATGAATCTCAAAAACGCGGCAGAAGTGCTGGGCGACTCAGAGTGAAAGCACGAAGAAAATATGAAAGAAGCGTAAAACAATCGCGAGGCTAAAATAAGAGAAAAAAAACAGCTGAGGCTCTAGACTCCCCTTCCATCTCACCGGACTCAAAAGTGCAAGCATACAGAATAGGCAGGAAGGAGGACCGTGCAACCAAGGAGACCAACAAGAAGCCGAGACCTTGTCTGATGTTGATCCATTTCTATAGCAGGCAAGAGGCGTTGAAGCTAGCGAGACTCTCCAAAGAAAAGGGTACCCTCATCCAGAGCAACCGAATCTTCATATCACCGGATCTCACGCTGGCCGATTCCAAAAGAAGAAACCTGCTCCTGCCTCCACTAATAGGAGCTAGTGAACAAGGGGTCCGGTCCCAATGCAATACCCTGGTGAGGGATCCACACCGGAGGAAGACGGTGGGACTTTGTGACCCCAAAAGCATGGAATGCAAAGTCGTTCAAGAGGCACTGCAGGGCCTTTCCCCTAAAACCAACCGCGCTGGTGACCTACCCACATGTTGACACGACGGAGAGGAGAAGAACCAGCCTGTCAGAGAGCCTGTGGCAAGGTTAATCATTACTTATAGGGGTGGAAGATGGCACTGACTATTCACAGCCCCACCCTGTTAATTGCAAAAATCTCGACGAATGTCATCAAAACGGTGACCGAACGTCAATCATCGACCTTCCTGTAAGAGCAACTGTTTAAGCCATCAAAAACGTCCTTCTCAGGGTCAACCCTTCCATAAAATTTCCCCAGGTGTCTGCAATTCACCAACTGTCAGACAAAGCAACTGAATGGCTAAATCAATTAGAAATTAACATTTATTATTCATTGGCCATAGGGAATAATCCACATAGTTGCTCATGTTTTTTTCATAAGCAGACGGAGTATACGATTTACATCATATTTATCCCCCCCAATTGTATCTTGTGCTATCGGTGTCATGCCATCAAAGTATGCGTTTGGATCTCTTGCAGAGCAAAACTTCACCCATGGTTAAAGATTGAGCCACAGAAGTGGATATCACAAACTACCTCTGATATGGCTGGTCCACAAATGTAAACAGAAACCACGGTAGTGATATATTAACTACCTCTCCTGGTGTACAGGTCGTGGCTTCGATCCCGACCCCTGCCCGTAAATTTAGAGTCTGCATGTCTCTCCCTGTTGTGTAATTATGCTGCGAGTGCTCCGGTTTTACCCGTTACATTTAGAAATATGCTTGAAAAGTATTTGGTTGCTATAAATTTCCACATGATAAGCCACTTCGTTGAGCTTTCATTCGTGGCCAGGTCGCCTCCGAAAAATAGCGATACAGATCGTCGAACACCTGACTTACAAACACTCGCACTTACCAACCAGCTTCCACGAAATATATATATTTTTTTATTGACTTAAAACGCAAACTCACACTTGCAAACTGAACCGCTGAACTTTTGTTAACATATCCTTGAAATGTAATGAGTATTTGTGTGAAAGTGTGGGTAGCAGTAGTGTGGCGGTTAGCGCGCTCACGACCAGCAACAGACGATTATCTGAATGGGTCATGGGCTTCCTCTAGATTGACTCAGCCTCAAATGAGTACCTGGTGTGGTGTGTAAACATCGCCACTGGGGAGACAAAGGCAGCCGGGCGTGGTGCTGGCCACTCATCCCCTCGTGTGCCGTGCCGGCCTTCATAGGCGCTGCTCGCTAACAACACTTTCCCCGTAAGTCTGTGAATGCTGCAATGTGGATCGTTGTTAAGTGTCTGTGCGTCCGCACGTGTCCCGTGTGTGCAATTGTGGTTACTTATTGCGCCCCTTCTGACAAGCCAGCATCAGATAAGCGAAAATAAAACATTCTCTTTACTTTTTGTTTTACTATATTTTTAGTGGCACATGCAAATGTACAATATTTCTTAATATTTGAGTTTCCCTGTTTTGTTGAACTAACACATTTCATAACACTGACTGTATGGGCATTTAAATACGGTACATTATTGTTCCAACTTACAGACGGGTCTCATGAACGAATTGTTTTCGTAAATAGACTGCTCTATTGCTAGATGGGCTTTACCTGGTAAAATAAATAAAATAAATAGGTACAGCACGTTCCCTGCTCCAAAAATTATACTCGTATGGAAGTCAAAGTTATATTTTTTATTCTTAGAGTTCTAATTGACCAAAATTAAGTGCCAAACCGTTTGAATGTTTTTAAGGAATGGTGATTGGGCTGAGACGATCAGATAATTACATTTGAGTACCCAGTTTAGTTATAGAAGTTTCTGGGATTTAAACCCAGGATATTAGAGCAGTGACATCTCAGCAGTTACCCCATAACAGATGCCGCAAACTCACCGTCTAGATTTGGGTGTAATTAGGAATCAATTGGAAGCCTTTGGATGAGACAGAATGCTCGTCTCTACCAAATATACTGTGCGTCCTCATCCATTATCCACATTGCATTTGGGTATGTGATTAAATGTGTGCTCAGAGGTGACTGCAACACATTTGGATGAGTTTTTTAGGAACTCTAATTAGCTTTGACCACGTAAGTTATGAATATTTTCCTACATGATTTGATAAATTTACATTTTATTCAACAATATCCACACGTGTCACGTCTGTGAGGCTGCCATGAGTGTATCCTTTATATAGCACACAGTAGTAGCCATTTATACGTGAAGAAATATAAACTACTGCAACAGACTTGACCGAAGTTTTAATACAAAACCAAGATTAAGTAATCTCTTTTCCATTTCACATTTATGTAACCTGCCTCATTGGAAGTTTAAACTTTTGCTCAATGACTCTTGACTACATTATCTCATGATAAAATGGCTATTGCCAGACATTGTTTTAGGATTGTGTACGTGCTTCAAGAGGACATGTCGGATAAAGTCAAATTTTTAACAGATATTTCGTTCTTAAAACGATGTCAAGGAATATATTTCATGTTTGCTGTAACATATGTAAACACTTTAATAGAATACAAAATGTAACGTCTACGTAATTAAACCAGCTTGCAACTATGCCATTCATGAGTGCTGCGATTACCAGAACATACTGTGCAAAGTACATGGAAAAGTAGCAGGATTATTTTTCGTTCCAAAATGTACTTTATTTGAACACCCATGTTCACTTGTTACACAGCAAAGAGTCTGTGACAAAGCGCACAGAGGCACTTCACAGAGGATATTTCACGAGTGATCAGTTATTTAACAGAATACGTACAGTTATTTAACAGAATACGTACGTATAGAATACGTACATTGCTGATAACTACATACAGTGCATGACACATTAGTGGCAAGTTTCGTTGTTTAATGACTTGGAATAATCCAAAATCAACTCAAGTGGTTGAATAACCACGTGCACTGCTCAAGATCAACGTCAGAAACGTCCATGATTGGACACTAGGATTTTCATGACATTACACATGTACCCACACAGCTTCAACGACTTGAGTGGGATTTCAATGACAGAACTTGTATTACCTGGCCCGCAGGGAATTACTTTGTTACAGTTCTTTATGTATGGAAAGTGCCGATTCCCCTTGTGCCACAAGTCTAAACAGCATCAACAGTCAATAGGGATACTCTCTGGTTCTTTCCGGTAGTTAAGTATAAAAAAGACGCTTCGGTCGCAACACAAGCGTCCGTCTTCAGGTGTGAAAAAATGATCTGCTGTTGTGGCTTTATATAGGCACGGGAGGGGAGAGGGAAGGGAAGGTGAGTTTGGCTGTGGGAGTTCACAGGGGAGAGGGGGGAGGGTTTGTGGGGACGCTTGTGTTGCGACCGAAACGTCGTGAATTCTTTTATTTTATTATTTTTTTCTACCTACGTGACTTTACCGAAAGAACCAGAGAGTATAGATTCCTGCAGTCACGAAAGCTTCAAATCAAGTCATTCGGGATCATAAGGAAAACCATGCATAGTCACTAGAAAAAGGGAATTACATTATCATACATGTTTTACTGTACAATATGAAATCTGTTAGACTTTTAATGTAATATAAACATTAATTTAAGTTTAGCTTTAACTGAATAAGTTTTCATATGTAAACAATTTCAGGTCTGTTGAAAATATTGGACAAGCTTTTAAAAATATTATTATTAAGATAGTGATGTGTGCAAAATCGTGTTTTCATTTGGTATTTTTATTTTTGCCTGAGTTTTGAATCTCCAATGTCAGATTAATTTAAATAAAAGTTGATCGGCTGAAGATATGAGATGAAGTGTCCTTGAACTTTAAAAAAGGAGTCGCACGGAGAAAAGTCCAAAAAGCACAGAGGCAATTGCACAGCACCATCAATGAGTAAAAACGAATTCTTACCTAAAACTCAGCAATGATTCGATACACTTTCCATTGGTGTGATGTTTATAGGTAATCCCTGATAACTGTTACTGCAAGGTTTTGCATTTTTCATCAAACTAAGTTGGCAACTATAGCTAAGTGACACTGTATTAGAAGTCAACATTACCCCCAAGTTATGGAGATATGTTGGTGATGCTCATCTTAACTGTGGCTCCAAGCCATATGCGGGGAAACTGATGTTTCCATGTCAGGGCACATTATGTATGTTGAACTGCAACGTATGAGTTTCCCTCAAAAATGGTAATAATTTGTAATGAGCTCAGATTGATAAGATGTTGACCTGGCCAGATTTAAGTTCATGATACATGATGGAGTATTGCTGCTCCACCAAATGAGTTATTTCTCTGCAAGCAACATATGTATGGTCGTTATGTTTTGGATAATTGGATTAAAGTTCACGTGCAATTGTTAGTTACCCGTTGGAGCCAATGATCCCAACTCGCCATTTCTGGAAATGCATAGAATATAATTCCGTGTTACGTTTCAATGGAAGATGGTATACTGTTGGTGTATATTAAAATGGCATCAGTGTACACTCCGTATAAAATATAATATAATCCAACAAACCAGTAGCCACGCAACAGCTCATATATTTGTACAGAAAGACCTACATTAACAGAGCGGTTGTCATTAATGAATTGTAACTGAATGATCTCTGCATAGTCTTGAAATATTGGTTCAAAGAATATCCTCTGAAAATCTGTTTTGAGCTATAAGATTTAATAAAACTGGATAAGCTGTATTGCTTTGTATTATCCGTTTATATATTACTTACCCTATGCTAATTCACTGTGTATCCTTAAGAATGTTATGGTTTCATGTTGTGAAATTATAACTCGAAAGGAACGTGTAGAATTGCAAAACACTTCAGATTGATAGTTTCAAACTTTACCCAGAAAAATTTCTTGGTATGTGAGAAAAATTAAGCAAAAATTATATAAATACTCAACAAAAATACTTAAAAAAGACAATAAAGTGGTTTGTCATATAAAGCATTTTTCATTTTTACAAAATATAAAACATGGGATGAAAAGGCGTTTATACATGTTTTGTACAGGACATTATGCATGTCCAAGACCTCAGAAATTATCAATGTACATACAAAACCACAAGCAATTACAGTATCCAATTACACAGAATGCAATGGTACTGAAGTGATTTTCAGTACCAGAACACAAGCTGGCTCTTATGTCCCATCAACAATAATACATTAATTATTGCTGTTTGTCCACGTTACTATTTCATACTGTTTGTACAAAATATTAATTTTAAATGGGAGATAATGTGTGCAACACCAGTAATCGTTCTAATATAGAGATGTTGTCTGCAATTACCCTCAAAAGCAAAAAAAACATTTCCATAAATCAACTCCACACTAATCTGTAAAATGTAACAAAACATTTGATCTAGTGTTTGTACAATTTATCCATTACTTCTAAAGCCCCTCAAGTAATTACTTTTCTATGGATTTACATATTATGCTTGAACCATTAATATTTTTCTTTTATACATATTTCTTACAAACAAGTGCATCTTACGAGTGCAAACCAACGAGTCTATCACCGCTAGTTGTAATTGATTCCATAGAGTAACCAAAATTATTTGATTATTTTTTTAGGACTCAAAACATCTTGCCACAGTGGCATATGATGGAAAGTGTATAGTACAGCATTTAAAAATAAGATTTAAAGTTTTTACATATATCATTCATATTTCTAAAAAATACATGTTCATCAAAAGAACAAATGTAGTCAAACTGACTTGACATAAGTCACCCCATAACATATGTTGAATGTGATGTAGAAAGTTACATGGCAAGCCAATATAAAAATGCACAGATGGGTATAGGATAAGGCTGGAACTATAAGCATATAACTTGTGAAACCCAATATCATTGTCAAGCAGCCAATCTTTCTAAAGGTATGTCTGTTGGCTACAATCTAAAAGGGAAAGATGGTCCAAACTCTGTGCCAGTTCAGCGACGACTGAATCACAATCTGCACTTGGACTTTCTGCATCTGAAAACAGGTGACAACAAGGGCAATTAACATCATGCTTTTCAACATCACTCTCTATATAATACACCCATTGTTTCATGTATCACACGATTGTTTAAAATATATTCATTTAATTACACAAATGCAATGGACCGATATCACAGGCAATGGAATGGAATGGACCTCTCGCCCAAAGAAGGGTTTTTGCCAAAGACGTGAGCCGAACGATTTTTGTTAGAAGTTCGAAGGCAACGTGAATGCCTACACACATTGGCATTTTATTCGTACAAATCAGACCCAACAAATCAACTATAAATCATATTGGTCACAAAAGGCTACCTGGTTAAATGTAAGCAATATCAATGACGACATTGGCAACAGCACTTGTCGTAAACATTTAACATTCCAAGTGGTTTCCTGCAATATTTACGCGTGGAAAAAAGACGGTGCAAGAGAGTAACATCATTGTCTCAACAAGATCATATATCAATATAAAATTAGTTTTTTACATAAGAATACAAATGTCTAGCAGTGTGCTCACCTGCACAGTTCATTCCATCCTGATCCACCAACCCTTGTACAAAATCACCATCAACTGGTGAAATATCCACAGCACGAGGCTCAAGCTCTGTTTGTTCACTTTGGTTCAGAGTCACAGATATGTTCGATTCATCACCTTGGTCTGTTGGCCGTACTCCTGCTGAATCTGTGGCTTCTTTGTTTATACTCGGACTCATACAATTGTCGACATCAGACCCTTTTTCTTCAACTACCAGACTTTCTGAAGCTTCTGACGACTGATTATTCCCGTCATCCTGGTCTGTCTCAATGGTTTCAAAGTCAGACATATTTTCCTTTGTCTCTTTAGTGTTCACACTGATGTCTTCTGTGACAGTTTCATGCATGACGTTAGAGGTTGAGTCGCCGATTATATCAAGTTCAGCTTTTGTCGTAGGCTGACAATGCGCTTCCGGCATAGGAGGTTGACAAGACTCAAAATCCTGAAGCAATTCTTTCTCAGGATTGAGCAAACTATGATCTTCCGTGTGTGTCTCCAGCTCTTCTGCATCTCTGTTTATTTGCCCTTCCTCTTCATTTAGCTGATCACCAGTCTGATCACTTGACTGTGACCCTTTACCACGTTTTTCTGAATTTCTCTTTTTTAAGAAGCCATCTGGGCGGAATGTACTTCTGGTCACTTGCTGTTTTTTTACTGAAGAATCAATTTCAAGCTCAAATACCTCTGCTGACAAAGCCTCACTCGTAGTGTCTTCTGTTACCTGTGCACACAATGTCAGATCACATTCAGTTTCTGCTGCATGTTCGGCACACATTTCTGCAGAATCTCCACATCCATTTTCTTCAGCCACCTTCTCACTTACATGCCGCAATAAATTTGACACTGGCTCTGTTTCCTGTTCTAATATCAAAAGATCGGCAATCGTGTTATTTTCTATTTCATTTTCTACTTCTGACTCAAGTTGCTGAGACTCAAGTTGCTGAGACGCAGTGCCTCTTTCACCTTCCAAAATATTTTCTTTCATATCATTTTCAATAGCATCCTCTTTTAATATGGCTATTTCTACTCTGTGTGTGTCAGTTGATTCCAAACTCGTTCCTTTATTTACTGCCAATTCCATCTCAAACATGTCTTTTGCTTCTTCATCCACTTCCAACTTTTGTTCACTTACTTGTTCTACTTTACAGGGATCTTTACTTATTTCTGTCTGATTCTCATTCTGCCATGTGTCCACTGTATCCTCTTCAACATCGACATCCTCACGCTTTTCTTCACTTTCTTCAACATTAACAATCATAATAGAACTGTCATCCTCTTTTTCGGCACCTTTGCCGTTATCCACGTCTCTTTCTATATCTTCATCTTTTGTAACCACCTTGAGATTGTATTGGCGACTAATAAGTTTCATCAGATCTTGTTGCCAACCGGTATTGTCACTCTCAAGTGCCTTCTTTTCCAGAAAGTGTATCACCTTACAGGAAGGGTCCTCTTTCAACTTGGCAATTTTGTTCTCCAGCACAGTGCGTTCATTCCGAATGCATTCCCTCTCAATAGCAAGCAATGTCCTTTGCTCCTGCAGTTCCACAGCAAACTGATCAACTTTAGCCTCTTCCAGCCTCAATCTTTCTAATTTATTTGCCAGTTTTACTTTCTCTTCTTCAACCTTTGCTTTTTCTTCATCAAGTATTTTTTGTTCTTTTTGTAGTTTAGTCCAGTTTTCTTTTAACAATGCTTCAGACACATCGAAGCTATTTTCTTGCTTTGTCTCTTCCGAATCAGTCGTTTGGGAGCTCTGATCTACTGTTGGGCGTAATGGTATAGTGTGATCAGATACTGGGTCACTTGGCACCTCTCTAAATTTGGCCTCAACTGCTGAATCTGCAACTGTTTCTTGGTCTTCCTGGGCTAGTTGTTCCCAAGTTGCATCCTTACGGGTTCCAAGGAGAAGCTCCTTCTTGATTTTGTTTGAAAGCTCCTCCATTGACTCCACCAGAACATCATTTGAACCATCACTTGGTCCACGAACGTACGTATCGATCAGCTCCACATCCTAAAGACGGTACCGACAGACAGTATCGATGATCAAGGTCAGGTTCAAAGCATGGAACACATCATCTGACAGGATGATATTGCTTATTCGTTTTTGACTGAAGCTGATAAAGAACCAATGGGTACTTTTTTACCACACTAGAATTATCAAAAACTGTTCTGAAGAAAGCTAATTACAAAGAGAGGATAACTTCATGAATAAATCAGGAACGTTACCTCTTCATATTCAAGATTTTCCATGGCCTTAGATAGGTTTGTGTTGGTATCAGTTGGTACTGGATCTAGAATGAGAATAAAACACTTTGTTAAGACACTTTTTTATAGGACACAGACATTCTACATATAATATACATGATTACATCAAATTGAGTTTCTCATATCTTGGCAATGTGGCCAAGGAAAATTTGTTCTACATTTAAATGCATATATTGTATATACATTACGTCGCTTATCCACAACTCTCTCATCAATCAACTCAGAGACATATTACGTTCTTTTACGAGTCAAAATTAAAAGACAAGGTTGTCAGCAGCACAAACATTTTCTTTTTCCCATGCTGTTGCAGCTACGGTAGAGATTTTCCTCTGTGACAGTAAAAATTACACTTTTAAGTATGAAATGTATTCAGTCCATGGTAAATTGGTGACAGAGAAATTATTGGCACATCGAGATATGACGCACTCTACATCATGCCATACAGAACGTGACGGTGCATACCACCTCTGCGATAAATATAAATGGATGACATTACGAAACCATAGTGGCTCATTGACTTTGCTTGCTGACATTAGGTGAATATAAAATGTTTTCAGGTCAGTAACACGACAGACCAAAGGAAGACCAGTGCTTTTGAACACAATGTCAAGTTACATTCAGCATGTTGCAACTGCACTTGTGGAATAAGCTGAATAGGCAGATAAGAGCTATTATGTAGCGATATATGCAGTATAAAAGAAAACGTTTTTTGTAAGAAAAATATTTCTTGCCAACATTAAAGGTCAACATTTGCCATTTCCAGCTTTAAAACAAAACAGACCAGGGCTGGCATCATTATACAAGCACTTATCACCGAGTCTCAAATGGTCAAACAATTGGCAGGGTTAGGGTGGTATGTTTAAAAAAGTTACATCATTTGTATACACACAAGCAAACACTATTAATTGTTGCTTTGTTGTAAATGTGGTTTTAAAATGAGTCTGATGAGCACAAGACCAATGTTTTCTGTGCTGCATAGTTTCTAATAGAACAAGCTTGAACGATCTCCAATAAGCATGGTTGCGATAAAAGTTCAGCATACAATATACGGATGGATAGTTGGTTTTCTTTTCAATTCATGCACTTCCACTTCTAATGTTTTTGTATTGTGTATACAGTACGTGATACAGAAGCAATTTAATGTTACGGTTATATACACGCACATGTCACTTTTAACTTGCAACAACAGCAGCATAGATCTGCTAATACATAATAAAAGTATCGTCTGGATAAGATGCTTGTGGCATGTAGAGCAGCAGAGGCCCAGTACCTGGATTTCTACCCCTCAATGCCTCGTAGTCAGAGGACAGCCTCACACGGCTGTGATCCATGACCTCAGTTGGCGATGACACCTTCGCCCAAGACCGTGGCCTCTCGCCTGGCACACACTCATGCATCACCAAGCTTTCCATGCTCCCTGCAAATAAATACAGACATACACGTAATACACAGCAGCCTACGTCAATTTCATTTTTTATTTAGTTTTCTGTACCGACGATATATTTTATGTGTTGGTCAATTGGACTTCTTGCAGAGATCTTACACAGGGTGTTCACAAATGGTATCAATGAATTGTCAGTATTTTGAGTTAGGTCAATACAACCGTTCATGCACACACATATACTTAGTAACATGATGATATTATCTTGAGTGCCATTCTTCTACATGTCCACACTGATCATCCTGAGATTTGAGAGTCCCAAGTGTTCATAAACATATTGAGTGTGATATTTTTCAATCCTTCAGTTATGTGCTGCCAAGGATTAGTAAAAGCTTGACGGTTTAAATAAACTCAAATATATAAGGTTTGTGCCCAACATTTCAGTTATACAGCTTAAAATTAAGTCCAATTATAATTCTTAAAAATGGTTGATAACCTTTAGAATACCCTGTAGTTTCAATTGAGAGTTGTAAATATGGTTAATAGGATGGACAAGGTTTTATTCAAATACTAATTACCTCAACGGGAAATGGGGTGATGTGTATTAACTTAATAAATTCACTTACGGCAATGACCACTATCTGAAATGTTAGATGGCATATTTTTCAGTAGCTCTGCAATGTTCATTGATGTGGATAAGGAAATGTATTTTCAGTCAAGAGTAAGAAATCATTTTGTTGTTTAACCATTAAAGCTTAACTAAAACATGTATAGTGTGCATTAAAAAATGACTACGTCAAACGTTACCTTGAAAGTCTTTTGGTGGCATGATTTCTGCGTTATAATTTTTACTCTCCAAAGTGCACCTGAAAAAAAGCATTAATTGTAATGTGTTTTTTAAGTTAAAAGGTAAATTTGCAGCCCTGCAAATGCTCATGCCATTGTTGGTTGAAGGGCCTTCACTATAGAGTATTTGGCCTTCTCTTCCATGCCGATCAGATATTTGATCGGTTGATTGACCTGACGATCAACTAACTGTGATGTACCCATTTATACTGCCAGTGGACAGATCGAGGGATATAAGAAACTTGTCCGTTGTTTCAGCTGCCACAGCAGGGGATCGAATGGTAACTTATAGATTGCAAGTCCTGTGTATAAACCATTACACGATGGCAGTATCATAGCATCAATTGCAAGTTCTAAAACACGTTTCTTGTAGTCCATTGGAATACATGAGAATACATCAGTTTTAATGTGATACAACCCAAAAACACCTGTATTAAGAATGCATCATGCTGCACAAAGGTATTTTAACCACTACCCTTTCCACCCAGACACCCAACGCTGGTGTTGTGCCAGTATTATTTTTGTCAAAGACATGACCCTTTACTAACGTGTGTCATGCCTTTTCAGTAATTCTCACCTATCAACAGCCTGCCGTAGCAGAGTGTACCACGTGTTTCTCACTTCCCGCTTGTTGGCAAAAACCTCAAACATCCGAGGTTCGGGAGGTGTTGTGTTGATGAGGAAGAGCCCACAGTTTTGGTTTGCCATTGGCCGCACGAGCAGCTTTTGGAGAGAGATGGCCGCTGGCATTTGATCCTGTGCAGTTAACGGCAAAATATCTTGGCGAGGTCACAGGGATATCCCCCCCAACACCGGTGTTGTAGACACACATGTACTGGAAACTTTGTATAAGCACGCGCAGAGCACATTTTTACGTCATGCAACACAGCTGACTTGGGCAACTTCTAACGATGCAATTAACTATGCCGAGCTATAATATATATCGTATGTCAAAGTTACATCTCTTTATACAAAGCAAGATTTATTGTGTTAAAATTTATATATATTCTAAAGCAAACATATGGATGTGATATTTATATAAGGATGTCACGGTTATACACGAGAGCATGGTGGGTCCAGCACCATTTCAGAAGTTTTCTTCCCAGGTGCTAATTCTGAGCACTCAATATAGGTTGAGTACTTCGTGGAGGTCCATGAGATGAGATGAGATAAAAGAGAGTCGTTTTGGGAAATAAAAAAAATCACAAGTTGATACTGGATGGAGAAGGTTTGCGGCCAAGAACCTCCATTTAGGCAGATAACTCAAGAAGACCCAAGCCAGTTTTATGAATTAGGTTTGACTGCAAATAAGCATGACCAAGAATGTAACACTGAATGTTGGTGTTAAATAACCACTGCTCCCCATTAACACATTTATAGTCAGAGATAAAGATCCCCCATATAGCCTTAACAAGACTTTTGGGGCAAGTGCTGTTAGTGAGCACCTATGAAGGCCGGCACAGCACACAAGTAGGTGGGTGGCCAGCACCACGACAGGTCGGCTTTGGTTTCCGAGTGGTGATGTTTACATACTGAACCAGGTACTAAATTGAGCTGAATCGACCACTGGTACGCACATACACAATAACATCATTATAACAGTATGTACCAGTGACGCAAAGACGTATTTCTGGTCTTTCTCTTGCAAGAAGATCAAGCAATCCTTCAGCAGCACAGCATGGATATCTGTAAGAGACATAATAACTTTAATTAGGCAAGCGACCATTTAAAACCCAACTCCTTTGCTGTGGAGATTTGAGATGAATTCTATTCTATTTAGGATTTATATAGCACCCTTTCCAGAATAGCTTTTAATAAACTGATGAAAAGCATTAAATAATATTCAAAACAAACGCTCAAAGTCACTATACATATGCAAATCATTTAAATATATACAAGCCAATATGTAATTAAGTTTATGTAAACTGTAAATCATACAAATTTTACAATGGAAATAGAATGATTACAGTTAACTCAGTTCAACAGTAAATACAGCAAATGTAACTGCCTAGACATATAAAACCTAAAAACAAAACAATATTTGAAATCAATTAATTCAATTGGAGAAAAAAAAGTAATTCCAAAGGAAAATTAAACTAAGATAAAGTATGATTTTAAGCAACCTACGCATTACAGAGACACAATCCAACGAGCTAATGATTATGTGATTAATCCTGTCCACAATTGGTCTGATCACCCCCTCTGGGAAGGGATGAACCACTTCTTCAGTGACAAAAGTTTAAGTGTGAAAATTAATTGCAAAAGTATTGTAAACATCAAAGTAAAAATGCCTAAAATAATACATTTTAACATTTTAAAAGTTTCATGCTGTCAATATACTACAAACCACTGTCTTATGATTTTTTGTGCACTGCCTTAAATTATACAAGATCTGTTTGATCCACAACTGGCGTAGTATAATGGATAGAACGTACAATAATCAACCACAGATTGGTAACAAAGCAGGAATCGTCTGTAATAACTCTCCCTTTGCAACCCAATTAATTCGTGATGTGGTGTGAATCCGAGTGAAATACACATCATTTTTACTCTTGGAGTGAGTGAGGTGCCGATAGCGGTTGCAGGGTTTGCATGACCCAATTATATATACGAATGCAAATAATTTAATCTAGGCATTTATCCTAAGAGTAAATATCTTTTTAATCGGCGAATCGACACATAGTTACTCGCCCAAAGTTAGGAAGTGTCAGCGTACCTTTTGTGCGGCCTGGAGCCATCTTTCCCACCAGTGGTCCGTCATGGATCAGCTCCTTGGCGGCCATGTCATCGCGATTGAAGGGAAGGCCACTCTTGAAGGTTGTGTGCGCCTTGGCCTCGATGCGCCCAACCAGCTCCTCTAGGCGCTGCTGCTTGCGGTATTGGCTGACCTGCTCATCCACATTGCTCAGGATGGCACGAAGCGAGGACACTGCACGTGTCAGGTGCATATGCTCCGAGATGCCCTCTGTGAGACAAAACAGGGCATAGAGAAAAAAAAATTACATATGAAGTAGATGAAAAAAAAATGTATGCATGACAACTTCAATTCCTAAATTTTCTATAAGTAAAACCTCACAAAGAATGTGGGGTAAACCGGACAGGGTACCTAAATACGTATATGCCTGTTCGGTCGATTTCATTTTGAGCAATGGAATAGCACTCAGATTGGACAGCCACTTACCGGCCATGCTGTACCTCCAGGCACTTAATTGCCCTCTAAGTGGCTGTGTCACACAAATCTACCAACCACTCCTTCAATATTGTGGATCACCATAGCCAGCAAGAGCTTTGCAAGTGTCAAGCAAATGCTGGAATAATAGTACTTCAGTGGTCCATAATTTTAATTCTAAGTAATCTCCTCCACACTGCTCTAACGCCCCACACATTTCTTTTCTTGCTATGCTTTCCACCATCCTCATCCACAGACAACTCTCTCCCACATATCTCGACAGGGAAGATGAAAAACTTATTTTAGTCTGCAACGTTCTGAACTGGAAGGCGTTCCAAAGCCTCTGGGTGTCATGTCCATTCCAAGTCACATAACTAATGAGACTGTACGACATTGTCCAACGCAATTACGGCTTCATGTACCCCTTCTATATGGCCTCTTCATATGACCACACATGTCTTCACCCAATGTCACAGGGTCTGCTTTGTTTGCACGTTTGCCACATGACAAATATGAACTATGACAGCATGACATGGGGTAATGGATAGAGCAGAGCACACGTGCTCTGTGTAACGCACAATGGACTAAAACACATTTTCTCCATGCAGATGGATTTTTGACTGTAGGATCTAGAACATCTGCCACTCACTCCACTACAGCTGCTTTCAATTCTTCCCAAAGCAGTTGTAATACGATTAATCTCTTTTGTAAAATGCAATAATGTTACATTTTGGGAATCTTAAAACTTAACTGGGGCAAAATGTTAACATGCACATCTTTGTTATTTATTTCCCCGGCTTTGCTCTTCTGCAACAACTAGATTATGGCTTGAACCATCAACCATGTACACCATCACCTCTAAATAATAAAGTGTATCCTGTGCGATGTTCTGGTTATAATTTAACATATCAGCATCTCAGTATTTTCTTCTGTCAAACAGGGTTGCCAACAATCCGGTCATATGATAAGATTTACTGGTTTTCAACCTTGCCGTACAGTGTCCACTCAATGCCCCATGAAATGTATTCACTACGACACATCATGAAGCAATGCATAAAGCAGAGCACACTTGCACTCTGTAAGGGATTTTTTTCTCTCGCAGATTTCTCCATGACTTTCGTCTGTTTATTTTCTGCCCATGACTTACAAATCATTTCACTCCCCGCCAACCCGTCCCCAACTTGTATGTTATTTTGGAAATGGGAAAAGTCGGCAAACCTCGATGTCATCACGTGACGTGTAAAGTCATGCACCTTTTGTGTACTTGAGAATACGATCGAGGAGTGGAGGGTACTTGGTGATTCGCTGCGTAACGAGAAGCACGCACTCCAGGAAGCCCTTCCGCCGCACTTGTGGATTCTTACTCTGCTTCTGCATGGGGCACAGTCGCCAGCCAAACATGTCAGCTCACAGTAGTTTTGTCATGTCCTCGGGTCAATAATCAACCATGTGAAATTGAAACAAAATTACAAAACGTAAAATGAGCAACGTTTATTCAAATGCAATACATGTGACTCGTGTGTATCGTGTGGATTTTCAATTTCACTAAGACAGCACGTACCCGCACAAAAATCTGCATCTTCTTATCTTTGGTCAGAAGTTCCTTGAAATTAGTGACGGACTCACTCTGTTTACTGCAAAAGGCCCCATACAAATCCTTCATCTTCCCACCCAGATCACCTGTAAACTGTGCACAAACACAAAAATGTACTCTTCTGATTACTAAACTGCAATTAATCAAACACAATACACTATATAAGTCCTCATAAACCATTGTTTTGAGATTACCTTCCAATTTCTGATGTCCCTTAACACTATCAATTCCACCCCATTAAATGTGAATGCATCATTATGAACAGCAGAGCATATCAAATTACAGCTTAAGTCAAATTACAGCTACAAATACACTTTTGATATTTAACTTTGCAAGCGACAGATTTTTAAGAAAATCATCCTGTTTTCTGTACAACCAGTGCCACCAAACAAAGTTAATCTTCAACAAAATCTCACTTACTATGGCACATATACTCACGGAGCATTTATTGAAAATTTTCCAGGTCATTGGTCGACTGCAGTAGTCATATATTACCTATGTACGTCTGTACAACATGCTATATTATTGAACATCCGATTGCATACATTGAACATACTTTCAAATGATACTTAAAGTTCAACTGATAATTCTGAAGCGATAAATTACAAACCTGTTCGAGCAGAAGGTCTCCGATGTGATGAATGACAAAGTTTTGCTGGCTGTCTGGCTGCAGGCTGTCCTTCTGACGGGCCAACAGGGTGTGTAGGAACTGCGTGTGAAATGTACTGAGCTCATCAAGCCGGGGGAAGATACGATCCACCACAACTTGATCTAGCTGCACATCGTTCTGAAGGCCTTTCCGGTACACCTCGGACAGGATACGCAGTGTCCTCACATAGTTCATCTCCGTCTGTATCAGCTCTGTTCCCAAACAAAGCCATGAATGTAATTCAAATATATACAGTACCATGCAAATTGGCAACAACAGTATGTGTTACTTCTATCATTATGGAGCAGAGAATGGAGGTCAATAGTTTTTTCTGTGGCCACTCATGATTTAATAATGAAAACCGATCGAGCAATATGAAGATAGAGAGGGCATCGCAGTTACTAATATGTCATGTGATGCTTTTAAAAAGCCATAATTTCTCACCCTGGCCAGGTGAAATTAACTCTTTTGTCTGGAGCATTAAGAAAATGAGTCATATCGTGAGAAATTGTCTCTCTGGGACGAGAAATATTCCATTGTAATATTCAATACGATGTAGATGGGACTTAGAATTGTGAAAATAGGCAACATCTGTTTACGTATATAGGTGTGAGGGACTTAATAAAAGTATGATATCCAAATTTAAGGTATATATCCCATTTCATTACTCGCATACAAAATTAAATACACGACAAACACACATCTATGAGCCGTAACTATAATGAAATGACTCAAGTTGTCCATGATGTACCAAATTACTTTATAGACAACTCTGTGAATTGGGAATACAACTTTAAATTGGTGGCACAAACCCATAATTCAGCATTTTGGAGGTGAAATTGGTATGTTGCACTGAAATTATCATGCATGTAAACTTGCCCTCAGAGCAATGAGGTGGGCAGTAGATGACATTGCAGAACATTGGGGGCTGAATTATATTATTTTGAGCTTACTCTGTGGAATGTTTCCTCCCACGTTTCCTCCCACATGCCAACTAAGGAAGTGGGGTAAATATTCCATTGCAGGAGCCACTGGAATGATCTGCTCGAGGCATGATTGACTGAAAGACTTATTTACTAATAAAAATGACCCAAAGTCTAGTGTGCGGACTGCTAAACAATGCTTGCGTATACAATATATACAAGTAAAAATGGTCAAATGTCAACTGGTTATAGAGTGCTTACTCGCCATATATTTTGTTTTCACGGGTAAAAGTTGATATTTTTACAGCCCTTTCTCAATCCACTGCTGGATCAAGGTCTCCCCATACCATGTTCGATGGTGAGGGGGGAAATCCAGGAACCAGATCAGATATCTCTCACAAAGACGTTAGCCACCGTCCGGAATTAAACTCAGGTTACTGGATTGATAGCGCAGTATGCTAGACACTGCTTGACCACTCCACTCCCATGATTCACGATCGTGAACACTGGAGGTCCTGCACTTCCTGGTGATGATGCTCTCAAGCTGTGTCATAGGTGAATTGAAGCTCATACAAGGAGCAGATGGTCATCGAATGCCATAATTAACTCGTGGGATATTTGTGTTCATCCCATGTGGCAATCTAATGCTTAATATTGAGATGTCTGCCAAAACATTTGACACCCAAGCCACAATATGTCATTTATTACACTTTCGATGATGAGGCACACCAAGAAGCCCCAGAACCCGCTTTAGTTCATGACGTTGCATTTGGTGGTAATAATGAGAGTATTTTATCATATAAAGCGAGTGTACTCCCTTATCCAAGCAACATTATTTGAACTTAGGTGATGATGCTTCCGTTTGTTTTTATCCACCATTAAACTTCTCTGGAAATCATTGATCATTCACTGAATATAGATCTCCCCAGCCTTGGAAAATAATTGTATTTGTATAGAACAAGATAACAGAGGTTAGATTGTGTAATTAGCCATATCAATATTTACACAATCAAATTTACCACCACAAATACATAATACAAACAGAACAGGTACACATTTTTAAGAGAAATGTGATTACAAGGTAGGTCCGTCTGAGTCACAAGTATTGTGCATGTGACGTGCAATGAACTCTCCCCCCCCCCCTTATACACTCGTAAACATGTCACATGACTCTCCCTCTTCCCGGGCCATTACTCTACACTGGGCTCACATGCAAACATAACCCTTACTCAAGCTGTTACACTCAGACACGTGACACATTTACTTCCACATCATAGCCATTACCCTTCAGTGCCACCCCTTGCTCCGGGAAAGACAATTAAGATGGCTAAGACTATAAGACGAGGCAAGGTTTCATGCATTTCCCTTTCACAGAACTCAACACTCTTCAATCCTATTCTTGTTGGCTCCTTTTTACTTAGAACAGAGCAAAACGTAACAATGCAGAATATAATGTTAAATTATATATAACATTGAAAATAATCACGAATGGCTCCTGCGCATACAATTAGTATACCAGTAGCATTGGATTATAAAGCCTCAATGTGCCAATGAGATACAATTTACGTATTTAATCAAATACTACTATGAAAGATCGTCTCTTTGAAGGCCCTTAGCCTAGGAGCAAAGGTTACGTCCTGTTTGATTCAACTCTCTTACACACGCGTTAACTACTTATTTACCTTTTAATTATATATTGCAGCCATAAAAGTAGCAACTTTGCAAAGTCATCTTATGAAAATCAATCATGACAAACAATTTTTTAAACCAACAAGCCATATTGACGTGAAATACATTAAAACTATCAATGATTTGCAGAAGAGGGAGGAAAGCGTCCATGAGCTCATGTGGAAGAGTGATTTAGAAATACAATTTTTATTATATTTTGAGGAACCTTGATCCCCTAAGAACGACTTGTGACCTGGCGGCTGAGGGTCACTGCTTGGTGGCCGAGTATCTCCACTTCTCATATATTAGGCTTCGTACCTTGGTAAAAATGTGTTCCTCGAATCAATGCTGCCATCTACAGGTGTTCTTCCTAACTATATGATAGTATTGTTACAATTGCTAAATTAGTGAAATGTTATTCATGATAAATTGGAAATGTTATTAAGATGGCATGAACATTTGTTTGAAGCCGTTTTTAAAGATTTAACATATCTACAGCCAAAAGGCATATAGCCCAGCAATCAGGCCGTCTCTTAGACAAAGAGGATGTTGTTGCAGATGTCACACACAAATATTAAAACTCTGCCCTTCACATTATGGACTCAATGGTATAACCGTGGATTTCATCAAAGAATACCAATTTTTGGAACAAAATAAGCAGACTAATTCACTAAATGATTACACACAAATAAAATATAGCAATTATTAAATGATACCTCAATCATTCTGCTATTCAAAATGAATACCAATTGAACTTGAATTTGAAATCTGTTACTCTCTTATCGCAAAAATATAAATTGCTCACGGCGGTCATCGAGAACAGACTAATATGAGACTTCAGAGGCCAACCAACCACAGCAGTCAGGGTCGAGATTCTGCCTGAGGATTCTGAAAGGTGGTCGTGGCCAAGGGCGGAGCCAGCCACGCCACAGAGGATAAAGCCGGGTCCCCCAGAGCGACCGGCGCTGTTGTTCATCCTGAAGAAACCTTCGTCTACGTTCTACGTCCTACAGTCTCCAACACGTGGACTGGGACCCAAGCGGGGTGTCCGTTGTAGTTAGTTACGGTGTAATTAGTGTAGTTAGCCTGGTGATCACCACCATAGGTTGTTATTCTGTAAAGGGGCCGTAGTTACCCCGTGTGTTGGTGTAAATAAATGTGTTGTCTCCAAAGAGTAAGTCTGCGACTCAGTTGAATTCACTACACATATATTATGCATATAACAATGCATATATAATTATCAGAGCATGTTTTTTGTTTGCATGTTCACCACAAGTACGTGTGGTTAATGCAGACAAGATTCCTTGAATAAGGTTTCTGATTGGTGTTTTAACATCTTGGCGCCTGTTTTATCGCCAGAAAGGGTAAAACCTGTTGTTATATTTTAATACTGGCAGTAAAGGTCCCATGTGACATTTACCGCAGTTGAAAAAAACACTTTACATGTATTATATCTATAAAACATTATGTTAAACTGCAGAAATCTTTACTCAGGGTTGAACCAAGTTTCTTTGGGTCTCAAGGGCACTGGGAGGGGGGACTGCTGGTACATTGGTTAACAGATTGTGCTATGAACCTGGTGATATGGGTTCAATTCCTGGGCACACTGCCCCCAATGTGGTGAGGTATAGTCAAACTATATAAATTGGCTACAAAAGGGGGAAGTTCAACAAACAACCATACAATGTATAAGATGTAGGGAGGGGCCTTTATCAAGCAGTGCATTGACAAAAGGATGTACTTTGTTTTTATTAGCACTAACCCCATTGTGTCAGATCATTATCCACGTGTGTATTATGCACTCCTTTTGCCTTACCATAAATTACTTCTTGCCTCCTGACAATATCCTTCTTCTGCTTCTTGACAAACTTCTCCTCCATGGCCACACTCCATGACTCAGCTTCAAATAGCTTCTGTTCCATCTCAAAGTCGTACATTAAATTTGTCAAGTGCATATCTCCTGCGCAAGTCCAGGGAAAAAAGAAAAGCGTCAAGAATTAGAAATCTCTCAGCATTTTCCATAGGCTCATATAGTCGGAGTGAGAGATCCACAGTTCACTTTCACATTCATAAGCATAAAAGCCTGCTTTTGAAACCACTTCCTTGAACAGATGTCATCAAAAGATTTTCTAACATATATAAAACATAGAATCAGAATATGTATTTACACTGGAGGAATCCGATGTGCAATTCAAGCTCTTTTTCACAGATGCCCAGCAGGGGCGGCTCAGAATGTGGCAATGAAAAGAAAATCCAAACACGATTGGAGTGCAAATTATAGGAAAAGTAAACAAATCACTTTAAAATATATACAAAAAACGCAACTATTTTTTTATAGGTTAACAATTATCACCCTTTACAATTTAAGGTAAAACAGGTATAATATGTGCCTTGCAAACACTTCAAATTCTCAGAAATGTTGCTGCAATCGTGGAAAATCTCATTCATAACACTATAACATTTACACAAAGTAGATCAAACTTATAAATGTACAGGTTAAATTGTGCCAAAACACCTCATCTCGAGTACCCATATAGTCGCCTGCCACCTTATTTTATTTTAAATATATTTGAGGAGGTTTAAATGCCATTATATACCCTCAACCTAACAATCTATCCTGGATGATTCAATAAGTGTTACAACAAATAATCTGAATTCCTACACATTTCTTCATCATGAACTATTTTACACTCATTTAACTTTTTCTACTTTACTCTTTGTTTGCAGACTTTTATCTTCTGATATTTTGTAAAATGTAATATTTCTATTTCACAGTTATATTTGTATTATTTAATGTTTCATGTCAAGCAGGTCTAATGCCTGTCACACAACCGAATTATATCACTGCCGAGATCCTGCGTTTTGGCCGTAAGAAATGCAAGTTAAAACAGACTCTTAAGTTTTACAAGTCTCAATGCAACAACCAAATATCCCAAATAATGACTGTTAGAGAATGAGTCTTGAGACTCGGTAAATAACTTATAAAAATCCTGTTAAGCTAAGTTAGGGCCCATTGTGAAGACATGTTTATTTTCTTCGGGAGGCTTAGGAGAATATGTTTGTCATCAACTTTAATTGCCTTTGCTCCATTACCAGTAATTTAGCAAAGCAAGTAAGAAAATAGTCCGGACCTAATTCAGTCAAGTGCAATTGTGATGAATTAATATATGCACATATACTATAGATTGAGAGACTGGTAATCTGCACAGTTGAAGGATGGCCTTTTTGTGCCTGTGATTATTAGTCCTTAAACTGACATGGATTCTGTAGAATCTCTTTAGCCGTTTAACAATTTAAAGTACAATTATTCTACAGTATGCAAATTCAAAAGATAGCATATTTACATGTGGATATCTGTGTATTTGCTGGTTAGATAATCTTAAATAAATGTGGTGGGTAATTGTTGGGCGTAATACGCCGCCACCACTGTGGTTGAGCAGGTACTTCCAGTCAGGGGCCAACAGGGGGCAATAGCGAGTCTGGCCTGTGCTAAGCAGGACTCGTGGGTCAGGCATCCCGGGGGGGGGACGGTTGGGAACCGGAGGGGGACACCCCGGGCCACGGGTGGGGGGCTGGGGGGGGGGGGATTGCGCAACAATCCAGATCCCTCGAGAAGGTTCCAGATGATGGGCGTGGCCAGGGACGGGGTGACCCTGGGAGCCCCATAAAAGACGGACCCCAGAGCAGCTGAGCTCAGTTCGCCTCAAGCCGAAGACCCAGAAGCCACCTGAAGATAGGACCCTGGACCCCAAGCCCCGCCGTCCTTATAAGGGCCGGGGCTCAGTGAGTCCAGCGGTCAATAGACTAGGACCCTGAGGATCCCCCGACCCGACGCCCTTCTCAGGGCCGGGTCTGTGTGAGCCAGCGGTTGAGACCTGAGGACCTTGGCTGGGTCGGGTCAGCCTCCCCTAGGTGCCGCTAGGCAGAGGGCTCAGAGTGATTAGCTCAGTGGTTAGGGCACGATAGCCCGGAGGCCGTACCTCCTTAAGTTGTGGGTAGAAGGGGCCATTACCCCTTCGTGTTAGGGACCTAGAGTTATTGTTGTTATAATAAATACGTGTTGCCTCCTACGAAGACTCCGTCTCCCTACAAACCCACTACATATATACATGTAAAATAAACAAATGAAATAGCTAAAATATCTCACCTTCATCCGTCAAAGACTCCATGGAGACACCAATGTTCTGGTGTGCCAGGACGAGGGAGTCAATGGACTGGGACATGTTCCCAAGAAGCGTGTGAACACCTTTATCCATCTTATCCACATCCGCATACCCGCTGTAATCGGGTAAAAACAGTATCATAATTTTTTTACAAAATTACAGTTCAGATGGACCTGTTCATGGATTACTTCATTACTTGTTATAAATCGTGTGTGTATTGTACATATGGATTTGTATATGCTCTACCCGACCTGTATTATTCCGACTTAAATGTGTGAGCCAATAGAGTTATAATTGTATGTTTATATGCAGTTGGAAAATACATGAGAATCTTCATCCCCTACTGCAAACACTAGCAGGACCCTTCTGGAAACAGTCATGAAACTCAGCAAGGCTTTATTGGGTAAACAAGCATTAACAATATACATTACGGCACTGAGTAATAGTTGTGTTCTCCTAAGAACATGAATACCAATATAATATTTTTACAACAACAAATATTGATAACACTATATACTTTTCATTGCTAGGATATGTTGTTTACATATGGACTAAACGTCAGCTAATTTACAAAAACAAATATTAACAAAAAAAAACGATTAACAGCTTTTTGCAGTGGTTTTTAATCTGCCTGCTTAAAACAATTATCAGATGAACATTCACCTGCAATATGCACCCATGACATGCATTCCACAATACACCTCATAAGTGACATATTGTGCACAACACATGCATGCAGAACAAATGCTGCTTGGAGAACGTTTCTTTTGTGTGTTGTGCATGCAGCAGAACATACATTGGAATTCCAAATGTGTCAATCAGAGTTGTCCAAACTACCAAACTATGGGCCAAAGGACCAATTCCAGATAGGGGCTTAAATATGGCCTGCTTGCAGATATAAAATTGTATCAAGTTAATAATCTTGGTCCACATTAGATTTGTGGTTATTGTACATGCAGGGGATTCAGGCATAGTCGGTGACCCTCAGTGAGACTACCATAGGAACATAGGAACATGCATGATTTTATCTCTGTACATATATCTTTCTCATATCTCTCTTCTGAATTCATCTAATTTATCTTTACTCGCTTATGAATCTCTCTCATTTCTCTTCTGAATTAATTGCTTATATCTCCCTATTATATTCATGTCAGACGAAAGAAATGTCATATTTATTGTCCGAATATATCGCTCATCTTTAATATAGCCCAAGGCTGAAGATAAACCTCATGTCTCTCTTATGAATATCTTTCATGCATCTTACTCTCATATAAATTCAGATCTCTATCTCTTGTGGCTCTCTTTCATGAATCTCGCTCCTATCACTCACTTCCATATGAATCTCTGCCTTTTCTGTTACGTATTATTGTTTGTGGTACAAGGGTCTGAGTAAGGATGTGTAGTGAGCCATGGAGTGGGTCATTCAGGCTGCACGATGGGTCAAGTGGCACAGTAGACCGTACATAGGTTTAAGCATGACTATACCTTTACATATTTCACCCACTGTGCATTGGAGCAAGCACTGAGTTTTACAGTCGGGTATTAAGTGAGGATTTGGTGTCGTACACAGTGAGATGTTTCTTGCAGTGCAGTGGTGGCCTATACAATAACCGATGTGGTTGACATCAGTGGTATGTAGTGATGTGTAATGCGATGTCAACATACCCTGCCATGTTGATAGTCGACACACTCTTGGAGAGTGTGGAGCTGCTCATGGGGGTACGAAAGGTATGACTTCGGTCCGAGAACATTAAGTCGGCTGCCTCATTTGGTAGCACGACTGAGCGTGGCCGCTCACGCCTTTGTGGTGTTACTGCAAAAAGTGCGAGAAAAGGACAAATAGGAGTGTTAAAACAGGTGTCATTTTAGCCTGTACCACAGAAGTGAAACATTACATGATACTACATTTGTTCTCCGATGTGTCTAAAGCTGTAACGCATGTTGTTCAGCATTATGCTCAAAGTTTCGCTCCACAGCTTATTCATGAATTGAATTCAGCAACATGAGACATTATGCTGAACAACATGTGGTACAACACAACAACCCTTCGTGCAGCCATAGTTCAAATGAGTTCTCAGCACATGTACAGCCCTTTTGTCATTCCAATGCTAGAAAAGGGCCTCCCCCATGTACTACTAAGCCGGTTAACTAATCGTACTTCACTATGCTGGTCAGTGCAGGTTGGTGGAGGCAGGGAACACAAACACAGGAGCATACGAGTACAATACAACGATGGATTCTTCTGCACTGCCCTCTGCTGCCCACAACATTGCCGAGAAGAAAACATGATTTGACACCACCCATCAAAAACTAAAATCTATTTTCCTTTTGTTCTCGCCAGTGACTCGGTGATCAGGTTGGGTAGAATTATTTATTGGAAATACTTATATCATGACATAGTGATGTAGATCCTGATGTAGTATTACAATGTACTAAGCACATGGTCCATAATGAGATATTCAAAGTGTTTAGTTGGTATGGGTTGGTTAAGGGAACGATTCACCCTCTATGTAAAGATGTTCAAACACTAAATATATATATATATCTATTGCAAGGCATCAAGTCTGCATTAACCACACATACTTGTGGAAAAACATGCAAACAAACATGCTCTGATAATATATGCATCGTCTTTGAAATTGATTGGCCTACACCAGAAACAGCCTTCTTTACAGCCTTGTCTCATGCGGTGCTAGACCAGAGAATGACAAAAGGGGAACTCAGTACAAAGGCAATGCCAGTATCAAAGTATTAATAGCTCGAGTTGAGCAGGTATATATATATATATGGGGCAATTTTGCCAGTATCAAAATGATGAAAAAAAGAATCGGCTTTAACGTTCCTGGCAATAAAGCAAGTGTTAAGATGTTCAAACACCAAATACTTCCTTGTCTTTGTACTGTTTGCATTTTGGCGTTCCCCAAATATACTTTACCTGACTCGACATACACTCATAGTCTTAAGTTTTTTTGCAGGATTAATCGACCCAACCTGACACACACATAACCCATAATATTCGGTCCTTATCCAAACTTTCCAAAACTGGACGTGAATAGGTAAGGAACACTGCATGTCACAGTCCACACTAGTGCGATGCACTGGTTGTCAAGACGGAGTAAAAAGTGTGGTGACAATGGCATGAACGCGACTAAAATGTCTGACGGAAGGCATTGGGCTGTTTTTGTAATGGATGGGGGGGGGGGAAACTTGAGTAGTGGATTTTTCCTGTTTTTTGACAAAAGTAGCATTTTTTTTTTATCTAGCAACACATGAATAAGGATCATAATATTTTGTTTTACGCACAAAAACATGCTGAAATGATCCATGCTTTTTGGTTAAGTACACTGCTTTGCAAAAATACAGTAACAATATTAAATACAACATTTTTGTGGGGCATACATTTTATGCAATATTTTTTAATTTTTTGCGGTTTGAGAATATTAGAATGTTACAATCAGACTGAGTATCAAGGCAAAGCTTCACCCGCATAGCACAATTAACACACTTAAAGTAATTAAAATTGGTATAAATGTTATAAAGAATACCAAACACTAAGCGGCGTGTATAGTAAGACAATGTGTAGCTATCAGTAGTTTCTGTATGTGTTCTATTTACCCATGTTATTCCAATTGTGTTGAAAGAATGTAGCATCTTGTCTTATCAGCAACAAATTTAATAAACCACCATTGGAACCTCCTTTTCCAGTAGCAAAATATGATCATTGTTTTTTACCCTTTTATCTGGCAACAAAACTGAGACAAGGCTCTAAAGAAAAGCTGTCTCGGGTGTGGACCAATCAATTTCAAGGACAGTGCATACATTATCAGAGTTGTTTTTTTTGCATTCCGACCGCAGGTATTGTGGTCAATGCAAACATGACTCCTTGTAAAAAAAGGTGTCAGTTTTGTTGCCAGATAAAATGGTAAAAAAAACAATTATCAAATTTAATAAAGTTATTTCTTTTTACATGCATACCAAAATATTGTCATAAATGGATAACTGGTAATGCCATTTCAGATTTTATTGATAGAAAGTAACAATGGATCATAAAAGTTTCTGAACGCTTTCACATTTTACTTTGTATGCTGTGTCAAGCGTCATCTGCCCACGGTGGACAGAGTTTAAACAGAAAATGTATTCCACAATGTTGGTCGTCACTGCATTTGCCATGAAATGTTATGCATGTTAGAGCCATATTATACTTATGTATATCACCAACACAAATGTTAATATTACTGATATTAACAATGAAATTATGACAATTTATAAATGCTCATAGAAAAGCTTTGTAGCCAATAAAAGGTACAAACTTGATATAGTTGCAAAAGTAGGCTTCCCTGTATCTGGAAGTTGCATCGGGCTTGGAATTTCCTGCAAAAACAACATAAATTAATTGAAGGCAAATTGAACTCCCATTCGCGTAACATGATGCAATACAAGCTGCTATTGTAGTTGTGAGCCCTGTACAACACATTCCTGCGGAGGGAGCTGGTAGGAACGTTGGGTTGCTCGGTCAATGGCCAGGATCAACGACGGCGTGGTGTATTCCGCAAATATGCCCGACTGTGAGGGCGGGCACAAGCCGGCGTGAGTAGGTTAAACGTTGAGTTTCATAAGGGCACCACGGGGTGAACCAGCCCCTCCCCACCCAGCCCCACCCCCACCCCTCCACCCAGCCCCTCCCCACCCAGCCCCTCCCCACCCAGCCCCTCCCTGCACGACGGACACAATAATCCCCTGTGGGCTGGTGTAACCAGAAGGTTCCTACCAGTATAATGTTTCATAAAATGTACATGACCGTTTTAAGCAGGGGTAGAATGAACAGGTCATAAGTGAAACACAAACTCAATGTTGATGCCACAGTTATCAGATGACCTGTAGGTGGCCTGGCTGTTAAAAGGTGAACAGAATGTATGTTTGGAAACAAGTGTCGTGATAGCAAGTCCGTTGCTAGGGATGCCTCCCCGAACTATGATCTTCCTTAAAGGGGTGTGGCACAGAAGATTGCTTTCTCAATTCTAATGCAAACATTAGAACATACACTGTTCATACTCCATTGTGACATGACATGCCCCCTTCAAGGTGCTTTTCTGCAGCAGCAGGCATAATGTTGTACAACCAAGGCAATGTTTGACTGAAACCTTTAGTTAGGTTAAGGTTTTTACTTGAAATAATATATTTAGTATTGCAAGGGATACATGGACATCAGTACAAGGAAAGAACCATTAATGATACTATATTTTTGTAGTTGTTAAGAATTTTCTAATCTGGAATATAAGCCAAATCATGCGTAGCAAAAATATAGTAAAACATGGTAAATGAAGATACTGCACCCTGAACATCCCCTTTACTTCTGATGATATATTTTAATGGCCCAACAATAGCAGGAAAATTATTATGCTGACTTGTTCAGGAGTATATGAAGAACACGTAGCTTCAAAAAGTATTCCCCAGAAATGTACTCATTCATTCTCCACTATAAATTCAATATTTCAATTGAACAAATTACAACATTAAGAATACTGATGCTAACACACATTCATATTTGTAAACGTATTAACAATACTACACAACTTTAATTTTATACTTCACCTATTTAAGTGATTCTAGAAAGAAAACAAGCATGGTACGTTGTACTGATAATAATTCGGGTTAACTTAAAAAGCAAATATATCCTTACCCTGAGCTTGTTCATAGGACAGGGTGGTACTTTGTCTTTGCATGCTTTATGGGCCATCACGCTGCAATCTGAGCAAGCAATACAACAGCTGTACGTTTTTATGGGTTCCTTGTTTCATGCATGCAAATACAGTGAGAATTTTAATTTAAAGTGTTGGTACAATAAATCGGAATAAAAACAAACACAAATATTAATACGTGGTTATACAAAGCATCTGAAAATAACATTTTAAAATAAAGTTATCAGTCCTAAGAAAATGTTGGATTTTTTGGCCAAAATATAAATTATCAAGTCCCTGGTGGGAACACAAACAGAATGTCAAGGAAATTCAAGCTGGGCAGTTCATTCAGAAACTAGAGAACACATATACGGTCAATGAACTCCATAATGTACTTGAAGGTATTTGCTATGACAAGACCTGCATACATGAAGCACCATGGGATCCTAAAAAAAATTATATTATCTCATCCTAATGTGGGGGGAGATGACATTTCAGAGTTATGAAATGCAATGGCAGTTGTAAATATCAACAAGACAATACCAATTCTCAGTGCACGGACTGCTGCGAAGCCATATCTCATCAACCATAATACATTGTGTAGCTTGAAAATAAACTTGATGAAGAACATGAAGGATTGTGACACCACATCACAGTATTAAGGTCGTCCAACTTTTAAAATAATGTGCAATTTCGCCTAGATGGTATTAGTTGCGTAAAAGGTAATATGAAAGCACGTAACAGGTAAGGGGCCCCGGGAAGGCCAGTCCTTCCACCCTAAACTACATCAAGGCTCTCCTGAGGGCCTCTTATGGCAAGCAGACCTCGACATTGTTAGTGAGCTCCTGAACATATTGTCATACACAATAACGGAATAGTAATACTTTTAACTCAATCAAACTATTTAGGTGTTTAATGGTTGTTATGGAGAAAATATTGAACATTTTTGCATGATACAAAAATACATGTTTCCTTGCAGCAGCTTTAAAAATATAGTACAGTTTAAAGACGAGAGTTGGTAGTCGTCTCAAATGTAACTAAATTAAGCTACTGTAGGACATTTAAAAAAGAAAGAGAAATCTGCATTCAGTGATTCAGCAGTTGGTATGATCAAGCAACGAAGTTAATGAAATAAATGTAAGAAATAAGAATTGTCAGTAGAATTATGTTTTTTTATTCTTTACAACGATTTCAGCAAAGAAGACAGTTGGCAAAATATGATACTTAAGCCACCCCAAGAGTGTGATTGCTATGGCATCAAAAGTGATTACATTGCCAATAAACGAAAGTTAAGTTTCCAAAACAAGCCCAATGGACAATTGCTAAAGCCATAGCACAAGTGTGATGAGAAGACCTTGGTGGAATATTCAGTCACTTATAATGCCAAAGGCAACAATTCTGTTTTAAAGACTTAGAGACCTCATGGCAATTACAGAAATACAAGTTACCTGGAGTTTACACATTATCATCCACACTTCCGATTAATAATTTCGTCAAACACGAGAAAATTATATCATTATCAGGATCAGAAGAACATGTTACAAACTTCTATTGAATAAACTTCTCTTTGGACTGAAAGTAGTGGCAGAAATGAACATCCTCTATCATCAGCGTCATAGGTTCTTCATAGGTTCATGTGTCCCCATTACAGATGGACATCTCAGGTAAAGGTACTTTATAAATGAATGCAATGCCACTGTATGAAAAACAAGTTTAGGTAAAGCACAAACATTAAATTATTTATCATTTCACTCCAAAAAGTTCATCTTCAAATGAAGAAAAGCAGGAAAATCAATGCTCTTACCAATATGGCATGGATCAAAAACAGACAATGAAAATTTAACAAATCTCTAAAGTGCATAAAGGAGAGATATATGCTTGCAATTACACTGAAAAACAGAAACATGAATGAATGGATCAGATAATAAATACAAATCTGAGTATTGATATGAATTCTGAAGTAAAGTTCGTCAGGCTAGGGACAGGACACGTCATTAGCAGGGATGATGGCAGACTGGACAAATGAGATGATGAAATGGCACCCAAATGAAAGAATGTGCCCAAGAGAACAGCCAGATAGGTGATTAGCACAAGTTCAGATGTAAAATTGATCGTGGCATCATAGGACATTGAGGAATATGGGGGGGGGGGGGGCTTCATCTAGCAGTGAACAGACAAGGGGTAGTGGTACAGACAAGGGTTTACGATCTCACTTCCAAAATGTTGCAATATTTTGATGAAAACTACTAATGTTGAACAAGACATTATCCAGTAACAGGAATGGCTAATTTGTGGCATACTTACTCTGGCAGCGCATGGCTTCCTTGTGCTTCAGAATGGCGGAACAGTAACGGCAATGCGCCGACATAGGTGGAGGGCTTACCACCTCAAATTGGTGGCCAGTGCCACTTTGTGGCCCTTTTTCCTTGTCACGATCTTTCAGTCGATCCTTCTCTTTTTGTTTCCCCTGCAAGTGGATGAATTGATACACACAAACATCTCACTTTTAACTAACATAGGTTAAATAAATTTGCTGTTACCAAGCACATGCGATGGCCGCCATGGCAAAACTATATATGTGCAGTAGAAAGTCTAGCAAAACAACAATTGGCTTTCTATTTGCATTTCTGGCGTTCACACACCACACAAGGTATTCACGATCTGGTGGAGTTAAACTAAGGCAAATAATGTACATATTCAGAAATCTAAACGCACGTACTTTAGATTTGGCACAGCACACAATGTAATCTCCATAACAGCACTCTTTCCACACACATACAAATGATATGAAAAGACCAAAAAACATAATATGATACACATAAATATAAACAATTGTTCAAATACTTTTTGCTTCAGAAGTGTATTAATATTAACATGAGTTAATTTAATAACATTAGATATATTAATGCCAGTCGATAGTTATATGGAAATAAAACATAGAAGCCTTGAATACCACATAAGACATTACCTTCGGCAAATTAAACGCAAAAGACATTGTAGCAGTCCAAGACGATGACTAAGTAATGTCACGTAAAACGGTCTATACTTCCTTGCTGCTGCTAACACTCATCACAAAACGTTGCTCAAAAGCGACGCTACACAATTCAGAGTTTCACTTAGATGACTGAAAACCACCATACGGTTCTGGCGGTAATCAAGAATTTCCAATTTTTGAAAAAACTATATTTTACATACATTCGGAAAGACTAAGATTTTGTACTGCTTCAGCTAAACGTACACTGAAGGAACTGCGCACTTAAACAGTCTCCTCGTTTGTACTTTAACCCCTGCAGATAAGACCTGAACTTTCTACAGTGAATCACGTTACTACAATGCCACTAAAACCCCACCCTTCCGACACTGTACTCAATAATGAAGTTGAACATGTCAGCGAGCCGACTAATCCTTAAACTTCCTATAAGAACATTACGTCAAGGATTTTAAATTTATAGTTAAAGAAAACTAAATGATGTTTGGTAACACACGACCAAAGTAGATTTTGTAAATATTGCATACAAGCTTGAAACATAGCACCAAAATTAGGACCAATATTTATATCTGCCATACCACACCAGTTTTGATATTTACATTACATAAACCGACACCAATTGGTCATCCAAAATTATACTTTGTTGTTGTTTTACTATACAATGGCAAAATACAATTGGAAAAATTGCATTTCATATAAACACAAATGCTTTGGTAATTACTTCTAATAGGGTATTTACATGCATGCTTGTATTTAGGATGTTTTCATTGTGCACAATAACATTCTCCCTTTTACAAAAACTGGATATCATGGATATGTATAAGCAATGAACAAATCCAAGTAAAAAAAATATTTATATTTTACTTAATATAACGACATACTTGCTACTCTGAAATAAGACATAAGCACAACGCTTCCAGTTAGCATATCGTGTTGGATAATTCAAACTCTTTTTAAAAGTCCCATTTTGTTATTTGAAGAAGAAAAAAAACACCCCTACTGTTACAAAGCCCTCTTAGGCCTGAGCAGCCCGTTTTAGTTGTTTACAATAGTGTGAATGGCTGCCATTAAAATCACACTGTCCCATGTACACAATGCAAAGGCCACAAGTAATGCAGCATTCTCTTTTCACCAACGCTTTTGCAAACCGTTTTCCCAAAGCATTTGCCTGTAAATGTGTGCTTTAGTCAGACAGTACATTATTTCAGCAAGAGAATAGATGTTGAACTCTATTTCACAAACTGACTTCATGGCCTTGACCCTTGTCTTTCACATTTAGTTATGTTCTCCTCCCAGTGTTCATGTCACGGTCTCGATTACCCTCTCATCTGCATCACATTTTCTGCAATTTGTGTTCCTCAATCCTAAACGGAATCTTTATTTTACAAAATATTGTTTTATATTTCTTCCTGAGTGTGGTTAAGTCTTGGGTCATATCGACACCACCCCCTGTGTGTACCTCTCTCTCTCTCTTCCATACCCTTCAATTACTGGTAAAACTTCCCACCAGCTGGTAGAACATTGCACATGCACGGAGGGAGTGGCAACAGGCATTTAAAAAGCTCATTGGCACACCCAAGATGACGAGCCATTTCATACGTAAGCTTCCATGATCAATATTACAATTCATAATTGGTTTATTTTGGGTGATAGTGTAGGTAAACGTTTCACTGGAGATTACACCCAGTACCATCAGGTGTTAGCAAGAGCTCAGATCTCAAGTTGATCTGAGCTTTTGCTCACACTTGATGATAATGATGATGCTGGTTGTAATATTTGGCGAAAAATGTATAACATGTTCAAAATTTTGCTTGCTTTTTAAGATACATGAGAATAGGTTTTCCCCTTTTTACTGGCAACAAAACAGGTGTTAAGATGTAAAAAAACCAAACTGAAACCTTTAACAAGGAATCATGTCTGCATTAACCACAATACTTGTGGTCAGAATGCAAACAAAAAGCATACTCTGATAATATATGCATTGTCTTTGAAACTGATTGGTCCACGAGGGTGATAGCTCGATTTGGCTTCATAATTCACATCCATAAAAAAACCAATAGTGAATCACAACTAGCCATGGCCACTTTAGCAGCAGTGATGCTCACAGAACCAGGTAATTTCTAGTCATATGTTTATTAGAATCACTGGATTTTGGTGGAAACTGTTAAAACAAAATAACTTAGCTGTCAATTACCATTTGTTTTATATCAGAATTGCACCCAATACTGCTAATTAATGCTTCAATTTCATGTGGCAAGGTGATAAGTCTGATGACAGCCTATTTAATATCAAATACATGCTTTTTATATTTAAAATAACATTTCCTGGGTCTTCCTTTTAAAAGGGATGATAAATAATGTTTCTGCACGCACAAGAACTTGCGTTCGTTCACACTCACGCGCTTAACTTACTTTGTGTTACCAATAAAAGTATATTAGTGAACCTTCCAAAACTAGTTTAGTACCAATAAAACTTATGTGCGACTTTGACCCTGCCTTAAAATCTGTCAAGGCAGTCAAAGCGTAAAAGGTTGAGGTGATTTGTGCCGAGGCTTGTTGACGAAATGGTGCAGAGCAGTTGTTTTTTATTTAGATGTTCGAAATGAGGATGTTTATAAAATAGACTACAGTATGTTTTATTAATATAAAAAACACCCATATATACATCTAAAAAGCAAGAATCATTGTTGCTGCTTTGAATTTGTATACAGTGCAATTAATAATCAAAACGTGTTTTTTTCTGTTTGTGAAAATAATATCATAGAAAAAAAAATTCTTTACTTATTTAACATGCACACTGATTGGAATGCTGTTGACAAGAATTGATGTGTCCTACAATGCTTACGTTAAGTTGAAATGAGATTATTATTATCATTGCTTGAAACTATTATTAGACCAGGTTAGTCATGTTAAGTAATCTTTCACCAAAATTATTAATACTCTCTTATTTGTAAGAACTACTCCATTTGGAATTTCAGCCCAAACATCCTGCCACAGTAATTGAGACACACCTATAAGGACCACCCACTGCATGATTGCCGATTTAAATGTATTTTGCCCAGTGTGTAAATATTAACGCTTGCTAAATGCAACACTGTGGACGCAATAACCAACAATGAAGCAATGCAAGACCACACAGCACTTGGGAGTTAGTAGTTTGAATGACGCTGCTTAACAATGCAGCTGCGTCTGGTACACGGATTTGCCAAGGGAGTGGTTCCAAACATGTTGCGTATCCTATACTTCCACCAGATGTATAAATGGTACACATAGCGCTGCCATAATATGGGTTTTATATTTTAAAAAGCCAGATTTCCCCCTAAATGTATTTATCTGCATACTGCACATTAACTCGATATTTACAATGTTATAAATACACTTAAAATACCTTTAAGCAAAATGAATCACTTGCCATCACCACGAATCAGAGGGGGAAAGGATGAAAATATTTTATAATGGACCTGATTTGGTGTTTTTGTAAAATAAAACTGACAAACAGATGAAAGAGGGCACAAGCAGAGTAAGTGGTTGACCGTGGCATCCAAGCTCACGGGATCACTAAATTCAATACTACAGATAAGAATGTAGCTTTGGAATGTTTAGTGTACAAATGCATCGTGAATTCAACACAACAGATACATATACCTATGGACTTGTTAGCACACACAAGCCAAGCTGCACTACGAAGTAACCCTGTACAAGCATTCCCCACACTGTTACGTTAAATATCTGACATATCCCAAGAGGTTTCACACTGGTACCTTGTACCAAAGGTTGTGCAAACGACGGCATTAAGGTATGGTTAGTTTTTACTTCTCTCTTACTCTCGTACACCATGCACTCAGAACATTACAAGATATCTTCCTGGCTACTATTGCTCAGACATCATAAGAGACAGTTTAACACGTCGTACTCAAATTTTAAATGACGGTGATTCACTCTTCAACACACCGGTGGGCTAAAGTAGTGAACTATTTGTCCTTTGTAAACGTGACATTTTTTTTACTGTTTGGCCGTGTCGGATGGTGGAGGGTTACGACACATTTATACTGGTAGGAACCTCCTGGTTACACCAGCCCACAGGGGATTATTGTGTCCGTCCGTCGTGCAGGGAGGGGCTGGGTGAGGAGGGTGGGGCTGGGTGGGGAGGGTGGGGAGGGGCTGGGTGGGGAGGGTGGGAAGGGGCTGGGTGGGGAGGGGCTGGGTGGGGCTGGGTGGGGGGTGAGAGGGGTGGGGCTGGGTGGGGAGGGGCTGGTCACCCCGTGGTGCCCTTATAAAACTCAACGTTTAACCTACTCACGCCGGCTTGTGCCCGCCCTCAGTCGGGCATATTTGCGGAATACACCACGCCGTCGTTGACCCTGGCCATTGACCGAGCAACCCAACGTTCCTACCAGCTCCCTCCGCAGGAATGTGTTAAATAACGCGATCTAACCCAAAAACCTTTATTGTGAATCATAAGAGACGTTGAACAAAAGA